AAAATATATTCTTTTTTATAGGAACGCTTTTAGAATCGTCGATACGTACTTTCTCATATATATTCATGTTTGTGCACGAAAAACGAGGAGAGTTTCATGAATTTCACATGGTAATTTTGCTTTGGCTGCGACCGGGTTATCAGAATAACCCTGAATTCTCGGGTGACAGTTATATATCAAACTGATAATAGTAATAAATACACCTATTTCCATTATTTACTCTAATTTCATGAAAGTGATTTTATTGCTATAAATTAGTAATTCAAAACGCCCAAGTATAAGACTCCTTTTACAAAATTTATGATACTCGCACTTCGCCTCTTTAATCCACTTAAATTACCATCCACAAAGATAGAAATATTATGCGCTGAATTAAATTATGCGGTAAATCTTGACTCCTTTCTAACTATAAATATATCTGAATATTTAATTAATTTGGAGACGGATTGATAGCGAAGACTGCTACATATGACAATTAAAATTATTTTATGATATGTACTACTCAAGAGATAATATCTGAGATTTATTTCATCAATTATATTAAATTCCTTATAATTCCTTAGTTTTTTTTAATCGCTAATTACTATTCGCTTACATACACAGACTATCTCTAGATAGTTTCGTAAAGGTAATCTTATATAGTCAATAATACTGTCAGTATTAACAAATACTAACAATATTTCTGATTGTGTGTGGTTAATATTGATGGAATGTAGAATACTGACGGTGATCTTGATTTTGATTCTCGAGCATCAGTATCACTTTATTAGGATTAGGATAGATGTCACAGTATATGTTATAGTGCAATAATGTACGTAAAACTAACGTGAAATATATTGTCAATAATACTGATTCGGTAAGAATGTAAAAATACTAAAAATACTTATTGATGCATATTGTCAGTATTACTGATTCAATATTACTGATCAGTATTATTGACTGTGTCATTTAAAAAAAAAAAAGAATTAATCCGAAACAACTCTTTGTGCATCTTTTTTTAATCGAGTATACCTAAAGGTGTTATTATCGTTCGTTTCGACGACGTTAAATACAAGTCAAGAAACAAGGGATATAAACGCAAAATAAGGGACAGTCTCAGGGCCCATTTAAACGTGCATACGCGCATTCCTATTAGTACGGGCCGTATAATCGGGCTCCGAGGCAGGGGAAACGAGGGTTTCGGTCGTTTCGCACGACGGGGTTGGACTAGCTGGCGCCAGGTTTATCTCTCTACCCTATCGTTTCAACCTATGCCGTTATGGAGTGCCGTTATAGTGTGGGTGAGGGGGAAAAGGTTCGCTGCCTGGTTGTGGCGCAGGCGGCACCCTTCGTCTCCTGCAGGAGCATTGTGTCAGGGAAAACAACTCGTGATGGCACCGACGTAGTCTCTCACGAGGTACTATTATTCCGATTTAGAACGGATAGAGCAGCTTTGCCTCTCCAGGTGTAGCTTTTGTGTTCTCAGATACCCTTAGCAAAAAAAGTGAGATCGCACGGTGAAAGAAGCTTGAAGCATATGAACGTGAAATATCCTCTTCTCTCTTTCTCTTATCATTTTAACGACATCTCATCATTTTGAGACATGGTGAGCTTTGAAAGATTCTAGAAGCAAGCAAAATCGAATATTTGGAGAAGAGAAGAAAGAGACCACGTTGTCAATATTGATGAATTACAGTCGATTCGTACAGACATTCATCCTTATTTTCTGAAATTTTTGAATTAAAATTTTAGAAAAAATGTATAGTGACAAATAATACGTAGATATTGATTCTAATTTATCGATTTAGAAGTGCCTACGCGATTTATTTTCCAGATAATAATAAACATTTTAAGGTTTTCGAAAGATTATGGGTATATAATCTTACAATTAAATTCATATTCAACCGAGAACAAATCAAATAAGAGAAATAAATCTATTTTCAGTCAAAGCGGATCTTGATATTTAAATATTTCAGAGTGAATTTATATTATACATATCCAATTCTATAAACTGCGCGTCGAAATCTTTTACGGTCTTGAAAACGTAATTATGAATAGAACTAAAGTTGTAATATCATATTAAATTGATAAGCAATCTAATCTAATTTTATTCATAAATTGCACGTCAAGATCGAAAAAGATTTCGACACGCGATTTGCAGAATTGAATATGTATATAAATGAAATTTCATTAAGCACTAATTGTAAGATCCGCTTTAATTGAAAATTATTTATTTCTCTTAATTGATATAATCTTACGACGTTTTATTGTCGCTTCATTGCAATTTTATAAGCAATTTCACAGAGTTTACCAAATCGTCGAAATACATCGCGCGCGCACAATCAGGAGGCGTCGGTAATTATTATCTTTGTCGGCTCTTTGATATTCTTTTTTTCCAAAGGGGAAAAATCGATCCTCCCACCCGCACGCGGGTAGTCGTGGTTGAGAAACGCGGCGACGAGGTGGATTGGTTGTTTGTATTTAATTGCAATCTCTGGCCGCGACAGGGGTGGATCTGCGGATTCGGCATGTAAAAAGTGAGCGTTAATCAGCGGGATGCGAGCGGCGTGGATCGCGGCCTGACGTAATTAATACACCGGCGAACGGTGTGTTTGCAGCGCGCATCTATAGGTGAACTTTAGGACGCGAAGCGTTACGCGATGGGATTGTGGGATGTGAATTACGCAGGGAATCGGGTCGTTAAATGGCCGGGCACAACAATCCGTAGTCTGACGCAACGAATAGAGATGCCCCCCTCGTCGCCGTTACGATGTTGAACCTTATTATCTCTGTTCAACCCGCGAGAGATCCGCAGGCAGGCCGCGTCTGTCGGTTATTATTGGGGATCCGGGGTATTAAAGGCGCTTCGGGGCGAGGTATCGATCTTCAGTCGCCCTTTACGTTATACTTAAATACAATATTTCGACCGACGCGTATAATCCGCTTACGAAAGTATCCGCGCTCGTTAATGCACCACGTAGAAGCCGACACAACGGCTGGCGTTCTGTTCCTTATTGTAATCGATTATTTGTACGCGCGGATAATTATGTACCCATCTAGAGGGAGAAATCGTATGAGAATGTACATGGTTTGTACGTAACATTTCAGGGAGCGTGTAATCCTCTTGCGCGAGTCGAGTGGCAGTCACTCAACTGTATTAATGATGTATTAATGCACATATATTTATATAAATGTTCTTCGTGTCGTACAAATGGAAGTACCTACCGTTGTCATGTATTCTTTATACACGTATTTCGTATATGAAAGCTCAAATACAAACGCATGTATTCAAATAACTTTTTTGAGCCGCGGATTTCTCCGTCAATCTGAACCTATAGTTTGTTCACTGTAAAAAACGGAAATACCAATTTTCCGATACTTTCAACAGTTATTTATCCGCGGAGAATAATCGGGAATAAAAATAAAGATTTTAAAACAACAAGAATTCAATAAGAAAAAATGAAATCTTTCGGGATAATCATTGATTTATGTGTGCGTAACAACGATTACATTCGCGACATCATTTTATTTTTTGACATTGGTCGCGTCGGTGTCGAATGATGGTACTTCATTAGCAATTAATTCGACTCGACCGATCGATTAACAAAACCAATTTAATCGGCACTGTGAGAGCGCGGATGACCAGTTCTATTAATTGGCAGAATAATCGGATCACAAGGGATTGTCGGATAACGGTCTGCTCGCAACGTATTACTTTCGATAATAAGCTCCGTTATTGTCTGTCAAATCGATATCTTATTACTAAAATGACTTTAGTTTCAAGCACGTATATTTTGCTTTTTAGATTAGAATTTGTAAAATCGTAAGAAAAAAATATGAGATACCTATATTCAAATTTTCACAAAAAGAAGAATTTGTCAATTTTTAACTCTGCATATGTTTCATTAAAATACATTAAATGAATAACTCGATTGGTGCATGTTACATCCGAGAAGATAAACTAAAACGAATAAAATAAGCAAATAGATAATATTAATCTCCGTAATAATATTAAAGATAGCTGATCTTAATAAATCGGCTGATAAGCGATCTCGTGTATCCTGGGTGATTAATATCGGCTTTAATTGTAGCAAGGAAATTAATTGATTCACAAAGATGAGGCACATTCTATGCGTTGATATTAATCGCCAAGCAAATGATCGATTATTCGACTTGCGAGTGGTTGAATCATTTATTGGTAACGAGGATACTAAAGGCTTCCCCATGGCGTAGAGCTAGTCTGAAGGGAAACGAATGCATCACAGTTATTAATTACTGCAGACGTGGTTGTAAATAATTCCCATTAAATCGGTCGATCATTTTGAACTGCAAGAATAGCGCATTTCGATATCTATAATAATGCATTATTGCGGACACGGTATCGTCGAGAGGGAGTCTGGATTATAGCTATACGCCAAGTTTAATTAGAGCAATGATCTAGCTCGAACTATACATATATATCGTCCGACAAGTAATTCGTCCCCAATTGCATCATTACGCTAGCCGTGTAACAAACACGTCATAGCTCTATTTAATTGAGATGTGCGCTAGTTTATATAGTACATATCGGCCGTCCGTTTCATATCGCGTTGCTAACGACGAAACTCCAGTCGCGAAATGTGAGCCCCTTGACAGGGAAAACTAATATCCTTTGTTAGAAATAAATCTACTCGTTTTACATTGACCTGACTAAAAGCTTTCTTGTCATCATAGTTTCACTAAAATCTGTATTAAATCTTAGAATCATTTGCTATTTAAAAAATCATTATTATCTACTTTATCATTACATTATATTTATCATTACATTAATCTACTTTAGAATTCGTCACGATATTTTTTTATTAAGATAGAGAGCTGCCCTTAGTAGTTCCTTATTATTTCAGGAGATGCAAATCTAACGGGATCTGATAATATGATGAGGCGAACTAGAAGGGCAACGGGTGGATGAGGCAAGTTCACGCGTCCATAAGATAGTTCACGCAGAAATGACGAGGGGTTTAACGGACGAGGTAAGAACTTACCGTAGAACCAACACTGCTTCTCACCGAAGCGAGGCCTCAGAAATGTGTACTGTGGTTGAGGCGGTAGATGGTCCAGAAGCGCAGCCAAACCGGCGACAAGGAAGGGCCCACCCCAGGCGTAGCAGGCATAGACCCTGAGCCTAAGGGTCTCTTGACCTTTTTCCAAGCTCACTGGTCGCAAATCCCTGAAAGCAACAAAAAGCGAGGGCTCAGTCAGTGAAGAAGCATGGCGATTGCGAAGAGAATACGCGGCATTGTGAGAAATGCAGGGAAATAAAATATCGAGGCGGCCACGGGTATCCGCTCTTTTTCTATTCCACGTTTCCTCTCGACTATAGCGAATGAATGGAGAACGAAAAAGCCATTCAAGAACACGTTTTTTTTTCTTCTGGTCATGACAAAGAAGTAATTATAGCCTCGGAAATAATTATTTCTATCGTAAGGAAGTAGCAGATACGGCAATGTAATAACACAATAGAAATATTTATTAGGTTATCGTTGCCATTGATCGATCTTCTGCTTAATAAAACGAAACTGCGTGAGAATTCGGCACGTTTACTTGTAACATATTAAATTGTAAAGCTTTGTCATTGTCCGGCTAGTTTAATATCGCCATAATGACACTCGTGGCAGGGAGATGAACGTTAGGGCTGGATACATGAGGGGTTGTTACTCGTAAATCGTATCCTAACGCAAATGTCGATTAGCGCAACGAGAAGTTGCGAAAGTAGTTGTTGTATTAACTTTTTCCCTATTGCAGGAGGGAAAAAGTTAATACAAGAAGAAAAGATAGTTTCGAATATTACAATAATCATAAATTATTTCTGTTAGACTTGATAAATAAAAAACTGATTCAAATGTAAGTAAATTTTTAATAAATTTTTTATCTGTCTCAAAATTGAAATCATACTGCAATATATAATAAAAACAATTACATTTATTAATATAAAGCAAACATTACGTTCATAATTAAATTGTTCATAATTTCCTCATAAAATCTTAATTAAGAAATTTTTATTAGAAATATACACATACATATTTAAAAAATGAATAAACATGTATCATATCTTGGATGCAATATATTACAAAAATTTAGAAAATATATATCCCGCAATATTTCCATTCTTCCGGAAGTGCTTTTCTGTAGTGAACTCATTTTATAATGTACTCTCCCTCTTGTTAGCGTAATTCTTTTAATGTAGGTAATTTTATATAATTTGCGCGATTCATGTAGAGAATAAAAATATACTAACATTAATAAAAGCTTTCTAACTAAGTGATATGAGTTGATGCAGACAGACATTTTCATTTAAATATTCTCTTTGTATATCCGCTCTCTGAATCAACCCATTATATAAATTTTTACTGAAGTTAATCCGTACATACATTCATTAAAATATGTATAGAGGAGAGAAGAGAGAAAAAGAAAAGGGAAAGGGCGTGCTATCGCAATGAGCGTGAAAGTAAAAATTTAAACAATTTTTGGGAACTCTCAGTCGCGTTTTTGCACGTTAGATAATTTCGTAGTTCACAAATAATGAAGTACCTGTGCACTAATCAACGTTAATAATCAACGTTACATATTATTAGGTTTTATATTTATTTACATTTATTAAATGTACATTGTTATTAGCGTGCAACATTAAATAATAGAGTTTGTAATTACATGAAAAGATATCATAATAATCTCAAATAACGTTGCAAATATTAATGGAGGTCCGAATACACAATTTATAATTATAGTCATTATGCGCGCAGTATACATTTTTTTTTCCCTAAATAGTACATATTATATATTAAAAATTTACATGTATCTCTCGCATATATGTTTTATTCTCAGTCTATAAATTCTTTGAATTGATCTTTTCTCAATTAAAAAAATGATCTTACAATAATTAATCCCACAGAAGTTTAACTCGAGACGTAATTTTGAAGTTGTTTAATATTGAAAGGTAAATAGCGAAAAGACGTAGTATCCATTTAAGTTTTCATTGAGAAAAATCTACCGAGATATGCAGTCGTGAGATGAAAGCAGCGCGCGACGATAGTTCTCTCGTGGATACTTCCCTTGATTAAGTTACACAAAGCACCTGTCAGGCAAGTATCTCGGAAGTTCGCTTCACTCGACGTTCTCCTCAGGACGCGTTCCGACGCGGTGGAGATGTCCGAAATGCACGAGAGATTTAGCGAAAGCATTCCGCTGAGAATGAGAGAGGAATGGCGGATAGATGGGTGCGAGTGGATATCTCAAGATACTAATTTCGTGGTGCCTATACGCCTCATTTCCGGCGTCGCTAATTAGGCGTCACCACCGCTGCGTCGTGTTCCTCCCAGTCTCTCTTTCGTTTTGTCTTTCTCTCTCATCTTCTTCCTTGTGTATCCCAAGCGCAAGATAAGAGAGCAGCTCACAGAATCAGAGAGATGGAAAGGAAACGGTAAAACGTTCGCGCACGAGCGACCGCGACGTCTCGCTTCGACGTCGGCACGGCGGCGCCACGATAATTCTCCATCCTGACCCCGCTTCCTGGTGGAGATCGAGCCAAAAAGACATTCCAGCTCCGGCATGGAATCGGACGTTAAATATTGTTGCAGTCGGAAAAATCAGCGGACACCTGTCGTTTGCGACACGCGTGAGTGCGCGTGGTAACGTTTCGTCGCATAAATCGAGCATAGGCGAATCTCTTATCGCGAAAACACCAGGGTTGTCATAAATTTCTCGTCCTAAAATTCCATAAATTTTCCCTAATTCCCAGACAAAATTTCATGATTTCTCTAATGCTTTCAATAATATTTTAAATTTTTTGGATTTTCATCCTGATTTGGAAATCGTCGAATATTTTATTGAGAGATCAATTTAACATAGCAATGTAAATCACTATTAACGTTACCGACACCGTTTCCATTTAATTGTTAAGTTTGTAGTATTCCAAATTGCGTTAGTGTAATGTACGCATATTAAATTTCTTTAAAGCCAAGAATTTTACTTTTACAGAAAATTGTACAAAATTCCTTAATTTTTCCCAGACTTCTAATTTTGTGGCAACCCTATTATAGACACAATTATGCAAACAACAGTGTGTGTGGCATAACATTTCTCGACGATAAAGAGACGATTCGTCTACGCAATTTTTTCATCACTTTTTGTATGAGCACGAAGATCGGTCTCGTGCATGGAGATATATGCTATATTTTTGCAATATAACGAACCTCTCCACAGAAGAGAGAAGCCTCATTTAAACGGAAAACGTTATACTTTCAGAGATGTGCATTGCGTAATGGTTTCTCGTGCTTGACTGGCGAAAGAGTTCCCAGATGCATGGATAGAGGTTGTAAAGCCGAGATAACGAAGTCTGTTATTAAATAGACGTCAGGTGGCCATTGTTAATCTTTTGATCCTCCGTAACAGCTATTGTGGACTCCACACGAGGACCTTGTTATGAGCTTTTTTTCCTTTAGATATTACTTCCTCCTCGTAATACGGAAGCAGACGACAGCCGAAATATAATAACATTTCCTCTTGCAAGTTATTATATATCGCAAACGTCGCGCATTGCGGCCACGTATTCAAGATTTATTTTAAAATGACGCTTAAGTTTCACGATATCCAAGAAATAGTAACTACTCGAAGACATATACGACTTTAATAGCGTAGCCACATAAATTTCGAGCACGCTGTCGTAAATCTAACGTCTACAATGTGAATTTCTTCTTTTCTCTGCTCTAAACGCTAGAGTTTATAAAGCTTTGATCTTTTTTTTTTTGCTTTTCAAACAGTTCGGTAGATAAATCGCCGCAGATGATATTAAAAGCGTGTGAGGAATCGAAACATTTATTAATACATAAACAAGACAGTTTGCTGACGAATAGATGACTTTGATAGAATCTTCGCCGGTTCATGTGTTTGAAGCTCATATTTTACCACTTCCCCCCCTTGCGCTATCTTTCCGAGACTTTAAACGGCGCAGACGTAATGTCGGCGTGCTGTCTCGTAGAAGGTAAGAGCTCTATATTTATTTCTCCGATATGGTAATTATACGGACGGCAATTAGCGGCAGTGTCGGCCGTTAGAGTGCGAGACTCGGCGGAGAGCACCGTCTCGTGGAGAATAATGTATAACGAGGAGAACTCGTTATGTGGAAACAAGATGGACACAAAGATATTATTTATTACGCCCACGTTCTTCACATTAGGAAACAGTCTCGCGGTTTTGAGCGTTAAGCGCGCATTTTATTAGGGAAAATGTTTGTTAAAGTGTGCGAATTATATATACAGATAAGTTTACGCTGACAAGGTAGCATTTAACTGCCACAGAATTTCTGTAGAAGAACGTTCTCCTTTGTTATTGCGTTAAATTGCAGACATATAAAATATTGTAGGTATGTAAAATTTATATCGTAACATAATACAATTTCGGGCTTTTAAACATATTTGAAAATTTCTTATTGCAATGTGTGAGAAAAAAAAAATTCTAAATTTTAATATTTATTTAAATAGTATCAACTAAATACTTACTTAGAATATTTACTCAATAAAAAGAAATAATAGTTATGTCAAATTAAAGTTCTTGTATTAAATAAATATATTAAAATATGTAAAATATCTAGCTCAAGATTGCTAAGCAAAAATTAGTAATTAGAAAAGTCAACAAACACGTGCAACGCGTTTATTGGATTTTTAAAAATAAACTAGTTTATTACAATATGCATTAAGAATTAAACTGGTTTTTTTTATCTATTAATTAATATAACTTTAAGTAAGTATTAATTGATACCACTCAAACAAATGATTTATTAAAATTTAGTATATTTTTTTCAGTATACAACTTTTTGGGAATCTTTAGATAAATCTAAAAATATTTCGAAACTTATCTGCGTATAAGCATACAGCGCACTTGAGTAATTTGCATTAGGCCTGTTACACAATATAGCGAGAGGGTAACCACTAGGTGAAATATTGTCCCACAGATTACATGATTTCATATGATTTTATCTGATTACAAATAATTTTTTCCACTACATATGAAGTAATTTGATCAAATATATGATTTTATTTAATATTATACAATGGTTTCTCGTGGTTTTATATGTAATTATCGGATTATATAGAGATTTCATATAAATTTTATAATGATTTCGAGGACTCTGTCCCACGATTACATTAAGTGGTTACCCCCTCGCAATATAGT